ACCTATCTCCACCTCGACAATTTAGGCATGGAACTGGAAGGTAGGGAAATACTCCAGCACCCTGCACCCGGGGTTTCTGCTGTGACCACCCGCAAAACTTTTCGGACCCATTGATTTAACGAGTAAGTACTCCGTGTATACTCGGAGTGGCATCGGGCATCGAACCCAGGTCCTCCGGTGTAGAGTGCGATGCTATAACCACTAACCTACTCACGGCCCCATTCCTTCCTGGTGTTTACTGTGGCTAGCAGTATACTTTGATTATATTAGATAACAATCAAGCATTTCTTGCAGACTTTTATCGTGATAGAAATATGTAAAAATATGTGGATCAAAGCCAGAGATTTTTTAAGGCATGAACCAACTAGACTCTTGCCCAGGGCCTCGTCTTGTTCTCAACTCGGCTTCAATAAGAATCGTGCTACGAATAATTTTAACAAGGAAATGAAATGTGCGGGCATATTCTTCGAGAAATTTGGAAATTAAATGTCTAATGGCAACTGTAGCAAGACTGAATTATTATGTTATGTCCATATTGAATTTAAGCCTAAACTTATCATATTATACCATCATTTAATCGAAAGATGGCAGTCGGTCGAGTCAATTTGTGTATAGGTTTGTGAGAGTGTTAGTCACGCACATTTATTAGTTGTGGCTTACCGTATGTAGAAATTTTTGACAGTGTATGCTATACAATGTCTACTTGAAAGGATCACAAATGGTGCGTACTTTTGCTTAGGGCTCAGCGCCTCAAGAAATCTTAAGACACAACTGGGGAACGGTAAGTGTGTTAAAAGTTGATATCGATGTCAGGTGATAGAGACTCGCGGTACTTCAATCGTGCCAAGTGTTCGAGTCCTAATTCCACTTCAAACCTAGTGTCTGATACATGTTAAATATGTTGAGCATGAAGTGGAACTTCATTTAGAGGCCAACTCAGATACCTACCTCGTCACTTGACTATAGCTCAAAATTATTGTAGTCAGATGTCAGTAACCCTCGTGTAGCTGCTAAGTATTATGTTAAAGGACAATCAATCGATGAAATAATCGATATTGGTATCTAAAACAAAGATGAAAGTGTATTTGTAATCGATGGAAGAACTTTGCTTGAAAGTACCAATGAAACATTACATTGATGACCTTGTATCAAAAGAAAAGCAATTGTGAGAAAATAATTTAACTAACGTGTATGAAACTGAGGAATTAAAATAACTTGTAAAAGTTGTTCTCCAAAAGGTTTTGCTAATATTTTGGAATTTAAGGTAAAAATAACTGAAATATTTACAGGCGATCGCATGCGAGGTATTTTTTCTTCTTATTGAAGACAGATAAAATTGTCTCCGTGCCCTACAAGAATCACACGGGGCTTACATAAGTAAATAAGACAAAAACAAGATAAGATAAAGAAAATAAAAAATAAATAACAAAACATGAGTTACGAAATAATAAAATAACATAGACAAAGAAGTACACACAAAGACAAACAAGCACGTTACAATATAAAACACTATAAACGTAACAAAACCAATTAAATGAAGTTATTAAGATGAGTAATGAGTAAATCAAATCAATGAAGATACAAAATAATGAGAACGAAGCTTTATTTGAAACAATCTGAAAAAAATCAGGAAACCAGTCGATTTTAAAAGCATGCTGTTTAACATTCAGACATTTTCTTTCTTTCTTAAATTTGCAACAAAACAGGATAAGATATTAAACACTTTGCTCACCACCATCATTGCAGTCACAAAGTTTGGAAGGGCACAGTTTAAATCTATTGAGGTACAGTTTAAAATTACCATGGCCGGTAACGAATTGCGTGATTTTAGAGTTTGTAAAAATGTGATCACAAGATAGTCCTTGTGAAATGGTCGCAAAAATTTTATTCGTCAGAAAAGAGTGAGCTGATTGCGTATGTGTACTAAGTGTTCCGAAGAGAGTATGCAAAATAATGGGTATATTATTAAATTAAAAGCATTAAATGAGGAAGAACCTCGCAAGAACAATAAACTATTTACCGAGGGGTTTTTTTAATAAATGATTTGCGATTACACGCCTGATTCTCTTTTTACACAGTACACACTTCTGCTAAAAAAAGTGTAACACGCATTTAAATAGAACTTGTACAGCAAGAATTTAATACATTCTGTAATCAAAACACGTGCACATTTAATTAAAAATTTTATTTAACTCGAAAAACTTCGTAAAAGGTCTGTTTGGATATGTAAATTCGTACGTATTATGATATCACTTCCTCCTTTCTTGAATTTATAGGAATTTGTTTTTCAAAAATTTCCTTTTTAATGTACAAGAAGAAAATTGCATTGTTTAAGGTATCCGACTACGTTCGGAGCCGTGATTTTCAAAAGTGCATAAATGGATAACTTTCATGATATTTAGTGTCACTTAGATTAGAATATATGCATAAAATTGTTTTAAGGACATTTTGACAAACAAAAATTTATTTAAATACAATATTTTGGCAAAAATTAACTTAGAATAATCTTTTTTCCAAATGTTCTCCTTTTGTGAAAAACGCTTCTATTAGAATAATATTTTGCCTGTATAAAGCTCAGACCTCTCTACAGAGGCTCGACTAGAATTTTTGAAATATATAACTTAAAATTGGGTTTATTCATATTTTACGACAACAGAGGAGAACAATTTTAAGAAAAAAACGCCAATAATTATTTCAATTGGTGGTAACTCTGAAAAAAATGTGAATTTTTCAAAAATTTAATTTGAGCCTCTGTAAAGAGGTCTGAGCTATATACAGGCAAAATATTATTATAATAGGAGCGTTCTTCACAAAAGGAGAACATTTTGGAAAAAGATTATTCTAAGTTAATTTTTTACCAAAATATTATATTTAAATAAAAAAATTTTGTCAAAATGTTCTTAAAATAATTTTATGCATGTATTCTAATCTGAGTGACACTAAATATCATGAAAATTATCCATTTATGCGCTTTTTCAAAATCATGGTTCCGAACGTAGTCGGATACCTTAAACGGGATTTCGTTTTCTAATGCTAAATTCAGAAATATCTGTGGAATATTGCAGTTTAGAGTCCGTTTTAGATGACTTTTTTAAAAGATAATGAAGTATCATACGAGGGTAGATAAAAAAAAAAGGTTACAAGTCGAATAAATATTTATTAAGGGGTTAATTATATTTAAGGGGAATATTAAGAGGCATATACATACCATATATCACATTTCGGCACATTCACCAAGTCTATTTAGGCATTTATCAGAACGCAGAACCAACTCGCTTAATTGGTCTTGGCAGAAATCAGATCCTGCCCATTGAGCCGGTCTCGGCGGATGTTTTCACAGCACTGTCATGGAATATCACAGTACATCAGAAACGATAGGATGCTCGCTACCATAGCTCAGTCCCAACTCTGACCAGATTTCTCACTCAGATTTACCCGTCGATTATTTTGAATCATTTCTTCAATTCATACCGTAAAGAACTTGGCCGTCCGCACCTTGCCACATTGCGGTTTTCGACATCCTATCTGCCTGATTGAAAAGAGTGACACCATTTCACTGCATGTTGTCTGCTCATTATTTGCCCATAAAAATCGAATCACGGCTCGCACTTCCAAACGAGACCAATTTCCTAACCATCTTGCCATTTTAATCGTCCTGAACCGTCCAGGAACTTTTCCTACCTACCCATAAACCAGCTGTATGACAAGTAGAGCCATTTGTCACCACTCTGTAGAAATAAAATTTCATCATAATATATAGTTTTCAAATGCTATGGCTTGTAACTATTTTTTTCTGATCAACCCTCGTACTTTAATGACTTTCATTTTATTTTATACCGTGGACTCTATTATCGTTATTGAAATTCTGTTACTTTTTCAGTGCTATGAACTCATTTTGAAGCAAGATCCCAACCACATTCCTGCTCTCCACAACCTTTGCGCCGCCTATTTTCAACTGGGCCAATTGGAAGCCGCCGAGATCTGTCTGCAACGTGCCAAAAACTTGGCTCCTCAAGAAGCATACATAGAACACCATCTGAATGTTGTAAAACAACATCGGCAAAAACTTACAGCCAATCCTCTTCAAAAATCAGTTCCAGAAAATGTGTTCTGTAATGATCCGAACTCCAAATGCACAGAACCTTTGACGACGAATGAGTCCGAAAATTCAAAACTTTCATTTTTTATGGAGAAAGATCGCCCGCACGAAGACAGCAAGAAAGATGTGAAATTGTGATAAAAGTAGATATTTAAATGTGAATTATATATATACATATATATATACATGTTTGTTCGTGACACTAATAAATGTGAATATTTATCGTGATGTTTGAATGTTTGTTGCAGATGTTTTTGTACTAAAAATGAATTAATAAAATTGAATGTTGTTTTGCTATAGTGTTTCAAAAGAATTGCGTAGAACATTTTGAAAATGAACCACACATTGTCTATAAAACGTTATTGTTCTGATAAATGCTTGAAATGAATATTCCTAAATGTTTTTTTTATTCCATCTCGAATTAGTTTTTAAAATTATTAGTTTTGAAAGGTTTCAATTTAAAAACTACATTCACAATGTTTTTAGTTTATACAACACTTTTTTTTTGTCTTTCTCCTATTAAATTCTGCAACAAAAGATTCTAAAGTGTGCTTTTCGAATGTTTTTGAAAGAAATTTTAACGAGTAATATAAAAAAAATATTTTTTAAAGTCATTCCTACTTATATATATATATATATATAGGCCAACAAAGAAAAAATTTATTTTAGTTACATTTTAGTAAATAATTACAATTAATATAAATATGTATATACATATGTGACAGAATCACAATATTAAGTGGCAAAACAGAAAGCTATATTTCTTGCAATTTTCCATTTTCCTTTCTATACATGGTGTTAGAATATTATGTTTGTTTGTTACTATTTATTAGATAATTAAATTTAATCATTCCAATAAAATAGTATAGTAAAAAACAAATCACATTCTCAGAAATCAGGCCATCCCAAGTGGGATTCAAACCCACAACCTCTGAATTAGATGTCCATCGCGCTATCCATTGCGCTACAGGGACACAAAGAGCGATTTTCCTTTTTATGTATGGTGTTGGACTATTATTTTGTTTGTTACTATTTATTCATTAATTAAGTTTAACTAATGAATTAATATTTGAAAAAGCTGTATTAACTTCAATTGTCATCGTTGCACATATTTAAAAATATGTATTTGAATTTGAGTGGATGAATAAAAAATATTTTAGAAACGATTTAAAATTTGAACAAGATACAGAGTGGCGCACACAAGGCCCTGGGGGTCCGGACTCCCCTCCCCTCAAAGCCCTGGATTTTTGTCCGATTGAATATAATTCTAAGTATATAGTACGTAAAATTTAATTAAGTATTTGTTATTAGTGATTAATTTTATTCATGTTAATTATTTATTCAATAATTAGTTTTTTACTGTGTTTTGTTCCTAAAAATTGACAAAATCAAAAGGAGCATGATAGAAGAATGATGAACTTTTGACCCCGGACCCCCTTGAAAAATTCCTGTGTGCGCTACTGACAAGATATATACATAAATAAATTGAGATTGTGAACTAAAAGTAGGAATTGAAAAGTTAAAGCGGTTTTTTGAGGAAGATACGTAATAAGGTATCTCAGCAATTTTACAATTTAGTTTTCAATAGCAAAAATAAAATAAAAGCGATAATTAATTGTTCTAAAGAAACCTATTCATAGAATGGATCTTAAATTCTATATTTCGTAAAATTTTTCGTCCATATACTCTCAAAATAGGATTTTTAACAAGTGTAGCTGTATTAAAAAAACTAAATTTCTGAAATTTTTTGCTTTATTAACATTTGAGTAAAATGTTTTTTGCTTTAAAAGTTTTGTTCATATTTAATTTAGTTAAATATTAGTTCTCTCTTTACACGTTTTTAAAATATTTGTATGCATTCAGTGTATGATCACATTATAGCTTAAGTACTTTAAATTTTTATTCGGCTATTTTTTAAGCCTTTTATTGTTTTACAGAATTTTAATGCACTATATTTTTTTAATACCCATCAAAAAATAAACTTAAGGTATCCTTTTACCCTAAAATCGTGAATTTGTTCAAAAATTGGAAATTTTTAGGTCATCATATTAGCTTCATAAAAATACCAAGTTTTTTATTTTCCATTCAATGGAACAAAACTACAAGTGTTTTAGTACTAAGCAGATGCCATAATTTTTAAACAAAATGCGTTTTACTCGAAATGCATTTTCTTAAAAAATGCTCAAACGGGGACAGCAATTGCTGAAAAAATTCTGAAATTAATTAACTGAAATTTTTTGTGTATGTTCTGTGTAATAGAAGTGTTAAACTTCAGTTTTATCAATCACTGTTTTATTACAAAATTTATAGTTCCTTATGTGAGTATAATCTGAGTGAGTTCTTTTTAAGGCTATTTTCGGCTAATGTTAAAGAATAGGACCCAAATTCGGAATATTTTTTCAGATATAAAAGTACTCAAACATTAATATTATATTCTGGCCTCACTATCCTGTACAGAATCACATATTTTATCATACTACTCATTTTTATCCTAGTTGAAACTGTTTTTCTTTTATAAAATGTATTTCGCATTTTTTCTCCTATACCGTAATGCTAAATGAGCTATCCCTTTAAATGTTAAAAAGAAAAACGAATTATTTATGAAATATTTTCAAATTTTAAAAACACTACATTTTAAACAAACCCATGAGTTACAATGTCAAAAATTTTTATAAAAATTGAGGCATTTTTTTCTGTTTCAAAATATGCTCCGCGTTATTTTCACCCTCTTGGGCATACGGCAAAATCAGCCTCAAGCAATTTCATATAATAACTAAGATAAAGAGCTCTAATTTTTGTAAAAATTAAAATATCTCTTATCCTGAAGGTTATTTCAAAAATGAATGGCAAAGTAACGCATCAAAATTGAAAAATTGAGAATTTATTCATAAACTTTTTTACAAAGTGGTCCCCGTTTGGTAATTTTTTTGTTAATTTTTACTGATTTTTTTTCCATTTTAGTAATAATAATTTCTTTTCCTTTTCTTAAATTTATCATTTTCTGTCTTAAAATGTACTAAATAAGTTTAAAAACCACAGCAAAATCTCCATATCTCCATTTTTTAAAAAAATAGTTGTCGCTAGTTGTCGGATACCTTAAATCAAAACTTTTTTTAAAAAAGAAATCTAGACAAGATTTTTTACAACAAAATAATCGGGGCATGTGTGTGAGATTTAAGCTTAAAACTGCTTATCATGAATTATTTAAGGTTATATGACATTTTAAACTACAAAAGGAAAAAAAAAACGAATCGAAAAACAGAAAGAGCTTCGTTTTAAATGTCTTGTTGATCCTGTATGCCGACAAAGATTTTCTCTTAAGTTATAACAGATGTTTCGTTTCATCTTCAAAGCTCTTTGCTGATAACACCTACTGTCTCAAATTTGGCTAAAAAAAGCTCTGGTTTTCTTTTTCTTTTAATACAGAGAAAAGAATACAGGACACTGTATATCTTTTGCAAAAATTGTATTAATATTTCTCAAAAATTCCTTTCCTCAGAGTTACTATCTTGAAAGAAAGGTTAAAAAATAATGAAAATATAGTATTAATTATTTTTAATTTCTATAATAGTTCCCAAGTACAATATTTTACCCTGTATATTTTAACTAGATCCAATATTGTACATCAAATGATATTATTATTTTTTGCTTAAGTCTCTTTCATTTCTATTCAGGATGAGCGTAACGCATGAAAAAAAGTAAAACGTTAATTTTACAGTGCTGTCTCTATTTTTCAATTTTTTTTTCTATTAGTTCACTGTCTCCCAATATATATACATATATATCTTGTTTAAATTCTCAACCGTTAATAAAGTACTTTCTATTCATCATTAATGTTCAAATACATTTTTATAACTTGGCATTTTAAACTTGCAGTGGATGACACTTGATGTTTATACAGTTTTTTCAAATATTAATTCATTAATTAAATTTTATTTTTTAATTTTTAATTTATTCTGTACTATTTCTGTCGTATTAACAACTAGCCGCGACAGATGACGCCATTACGTTTTTCTAACGAAGTAAGAATTAACGTTAAAAAAAATATTATATTACTTGTTTACCTATGATTAAAAAGGAGCCATGAAACATTTCTCCGATTTCTCGCGCTTGACAGTAAAATGTTTAATACTTTAACTATCATCTGTAACATAAACTTTTAAAAATTAAATATATATTTTTGTGCTAATTTTTCCCCCGTGAATGCAAAGCCGTTCTGCTGATCTTATTTTTTTTAAAAAAAAAAGGGTTGAAACACGAAATTTATGAAATATTCTAGCATATTAATGTGTGTTTTGCCACAGTACCTTCTCCTTCTCCTTAGTTGAGCTGAAAAATACGCTCATTGTGGTTTGATTCCCATTGGATCCGAACTTAGCATGGGGGGAGAAGCCAAATTTGATGAAATTATTACAAACAGCAAATATCAACAAGTGACTTTTATTAAGCCAACACTAGAAATGACAACGCTATAGGAAGACAATCTAAATGGTATGAATAAATTCTGTACTTTTCTGAGCGAAATCCGGATCCTCAGCTTTGACGAATCAAAAATCGCCGTAATCTTCAACTCCAAAAGTTAAAAGGACACTAAGACTTTAGCTCGAATCAAAGTGGTAATATCGTCTGTAATCATCTTCTATCTCCTATGAGGGGGAGGGCAAAAATAACTGGAATTTATTTCTGTTATTTTTTTTTATTTTGCACTTTTATTGAATCCTACATTAGTGCCCATCAAAGTACCGCCTAAGGCAGTGTTTCTCAAACTTTCAATATACGTGACCCACTATTCAATCATCATTTTCACACATGGCGCCCCCTGCATACAATAACAATATATTGAATTCAATAATACTATACTTTGACACTAAAGCTACAATATATATACGACTTTAACCTCTTATGTGCCACCGATGCATATAAACATCTCGCTCAGTCAAAGTATTAATTTTCTGGACGTATATATACGTATTTCCGAAGTACAATCTTTTCTGTGCTGTGTTATCCATAAAACTATTCCGAAGGCTTTGGAATGTGATAAAGTGTTTACGAAGGATTTACTTATTTCAGATGATTTGCTTATTTATTCCTTTTCACTTTTACTTCTTCCCTTAAAAAAACATCAAAATACCTTCGTCTTCATGGAAAATGGTGGCATTGGCGAGCAAATCGCGTAACTTTTAATCAGCAAGGAATTAATTATAAACCGTACAAATTATCAAGATAAGTGTTAATACAAACCCATGGGACCCCTGATAATTATCAAATTTGTTCTTAACTTAGTATTGTTCAATTAATAATAAAATACATTTTACAGTACTTATACATTTATAGGTGTATTATATCAGTGTAAATGTGTATTTTAAATTTTATTATATCAGAAAGTATTTTGTTTGTTTGCTTTCAATAAATTAATTTTTTTAAATAATCTTTTGTTTTCGACTTTTCAATATGTTTGCGCTCCTCTTGTAGAGTTATCACGCTCCCCCAAGTGAGTCGTGCCCCAAAGTTTGAGAAAAGCTGGCTTAAGGACATTGAGGCACTTGTCGCAACGCTTTTACTTCTGCTCAAAACAGTTCTGGGATTCTTCAGGCAGAATACTGTTCAAAGCCGATAGGGTGGGTGGTTTCTTTGACTTCATCCACATCAATGAATCGCTTTCCTTTCAGTTTTCTCTTCATCTGTGGAAACAAAAAAAAATCATACGGAACCAGATCGAGAGAATGAAGGGATGAGGCACAAGCATGCTGTTGTTTGCCGAAAACTGTCAAACCATCAAAGTTGTGTGGGCTGGAGCATCGTCGTGAACGTGCTCCATGACACGTTCGTTTCCTCAAAAATTTGATCAATGGTCCTTCGACGATCTTCATTATTGCACATTTGATTTGGTCAAAGTTTACGTCATTTCCCACTGTCTAAGGACGCCCAAGGCGTGACACGTCTTCAGTTGACATGTTGCCTGATTTGAAAGGAA